GAACAGTTGGGGTGAGTGTGTAGACTGTAGCTGAAGCGTGTTGCGTGGTGAGAGTGTATGATGCTTGTCTGACGGAAGGGAAGTGCGACCGGAAGAACAGGTCTAGTGCACGGAGTGGCCAAGACCCCTTGAAGATATAGAGCAGACATGTCCACAGGTGTGATGTTTTCTCTTCCACTGTGACACTTGGGAATAATTAGCTACTGTACAAAGCCAGGCGCTTGGTGGGTACTTTAGTTTGGGTCTTTCCAAAAGGCCCAGGCATATATGTTGTGACAGTTGTGTAGCCTGGTCCTCTGTGACACGGCTAACATTGGGGTACAGGGGCTGTCTCTCTGACTCTGTTACAGTCTTCATCACCTTGCCCAGCCATAATCCATGGGAGGTGCTTAGTCTCACTGCAACTTGATATGATATGTTTCGTTAGTACTCATGGGAGGCCTGCCCTTCCCCAAACAGAAAAGGAGGCATGGACTGGAGGTGGGAACAGAGGTAGAGGTGTTGGGGGGGGTTCTGGGGGGAGCAACTGTGACCTGGATGTAAAATACATAAATAAATTTATTATTTAAAAAAATAAAAATAAAACGGTTCATGTGTTAAAGGCTTAGGCCCCAAGACAATGGTCGCAGGAGGAGGTGGGGCACTGAGGTGAAGAGGGAGAGAGGGGGGGGGAGGGAGGGAGGGAGGCCTTGGCATCAGCAGCTGCAGCAGCCAGCCCTCAGTGGTGGTTGTAGGACCCTGGTCCCCTCTTGCTCTCTGGCTCTCTGGGTCATCACAAGGCATCACAGGTTCCCACCGTGCTGTCTCACTGGAGCAGTGAGGCCCCTCACTTGACCAGACTTCCAAAACTGAGAGCCAGAAGAATCTGGTTTTCCTGTGTAAGTCGAGTATCTCTGCTACTCTGTTATTCTTGCAAGAAACCACAGCAGGTGGGTGACGGGATATCAGCTTGCTGATACAGCCCGGTATACGTAAGGGAGTTTTTGATCTCCAGTCACATGAATGGAAAGAAATATGGTATCCAGAGCAAAGGAGGCAATAGCTTTTTAATCTCCCCCTCATTCAGCACACTGTGGTATGCCTTTTTGTTTGTTACTCTTCGAAAAGGACACAGTGACTTAGTTATGAATGCACAGTGTGTCGTAGCTGATCGAGATGTTCGTTTGCCAAGTACCACTTCCTGCCTCCTCTGTTCTGGGCGTCCCTCAAGAGTCACCATAAGCCTCACGAAGTAATAGCTGGGGAAAACCATTCAGGAGCAATCGCGTACTTCGCATTTAAATCTCCAGTGTGTAAGCTAGAAAATGTAGGCACCATAGCAGTAGCTTCCATGCCCTGGTGGCTTTAAAAGCTGCGTAAAAGGTGGAATCCTCTCCATTCATCTCATCTTGAGATTTGCCGGCTGTTTGAGAATTCGCCCTGGAACTCAGAAACTTCCTAGGGAAGGGTTCGTTTCTTACAGTGCAATTGTATTCAGCTTGGTTGCTTCCCACACCATATTCCGCTACACCCCCAGAGTTCCTCTTCAGTATTCTCTGCCTCTTCTGACTTTATTGGGTGTTTTATTTGACCACCACGTAACATTTTCTTATTATCTGTCCCGAGCATTAGCGATCTGCTATGATTAGAGCCAGTGTCTGAGCAAAAACGACTTGATTCTTGAGGCATGCCAGTTAGAGTAGCTGGAATAACTCTACTGACACATCCATCCTTACACATCTGCGCTAATGCAGGAGAATATTCCTGTGTGTTATCAGCACGGGATGCAGGATTTCTAATAATTAGTGTAACGAGAGCCCTGTAGGAATGATAGGCTACTGTTGTTTTTTTTTTTCCCCCACTTGTACTCCTTCTTACCTTTAAAATTGCGGTATAACATTTCCCCGTTTTAGACTAGTAGATAATGTTGTTAGAATGCTAAAATCCACTGAGGGAAATGTTTGGTTTTCTGTGGGGGAGGGACCTTCTAAACCTCTTGCAATAGCTCTACCACCAAGAGACTGAGAGACACTCTTGATGCTTCTGATTTCTCTAAAAGATTCATGTTTTATTTTAAATTAGGTGTGTGTGTGTGTGTGTGTGTGTGTGTGTGTGTGTGTGTGTGTGTGTGTGTGTGTACAGCTTCCATGGCCAGAGGAGTCCAGTCCTCTGGAGGCAGAGTTACAGGCAGCTGTGAGCCAGCTGGCGTGGGTGCTGGGAACCAAACTGGGTCGTCTACAAGGACAGGAAGCTCTCTCAGTTGCAGAGCCGTCTCTCCAGCTCAAGCAGACTCCGCCTTCTTACAAAGCAGAACATAATGAGTTTTGAAGTACTTCTTAGTGAGTATAGCTCATACTCCATCTCTTTCCTCCCTTCCGACGGAATCCATCCTCAGTGTGGGCAGTTCTGTTAGGACAGAGGAAGTTCCCTTTACTAAGCGGAATGATGAACCCCTTCAAATAGTGTCACAAGAATATATATAAAATATAAGTGTAGCAAGTCTTAAAATAGCTAATCCTTTGTGTAGTGGCGTGTCTCAGCCTTGTGCAGTTATGTTCATGTGTATTTGGGTGTACAAGTTCACGTGTGTTCATGTGTGTTTATGCATATTTACATGTGTCCTGTGTTCACACAAAAGCGTTATTTTTGGTATGTGAGCACCACCTATTGGTTTCTCGTGTACTTGGACTTTTTTTTCTTAAAACCTAATTTTTAAAAAACTAATAATATAATAATAATCTTTCTAGTTTTCCCCTGGAGTTAGTCTAGTGTTTATTTAAAAGTTGGAGGTTTTATGCTATGTCACAGTCTACTCCATGAGTGCTATGGTAGAAAAGTAACAAGAAGAAGGTCTATAGAATATGTTTCTCATGAGATTGCTGTGGCTGGCTTAATAGAAACAAAGCTGTACTTTGTCCTCAATAGGTTTTTATAATAGAATTACACTCGCAGAAATCGAGCCATCATTCATTAAAATCAATCTTTTTTCTTGTTAGGGAGGGGATTTATTCTGTAGTCAGAGATGACCGCAGTCTCTGATCTTCTTGCCTCTGCCTCCCAAGCACTGGGATTGGAGGAGCGTCCACCACCGTGCCCAGGTCAGGAAATTTACTAGTAATGAAGCTTAACGATGGCAATCAGTACATAAATACTCACTCAATGAGTGAGTTACAGCAGCCTTGATTGTGACTGGGCGTGACGGCAGAGTCCTTGGTGTGTGCCCTGAACTCTGGGCCATGAAGCTCCGTGCTGTAAAAGTGGCGTGCATCTGACCCTTGGGCAGTGCGTTCTGGTTCCCTTAGGCTTGAGCCTTAGCTCTGCGGTAGGACGCACTTTGAACATTGGCGTGGGTTTTCTACCGACAGTGGTGGTTCTGGAGACTCAAGAACTGACTGGAGGCAGTTTGGCTTGCTTTATTTTGAACACCATCAAAGATATTAATTACCGCAGCTTACTTCCTGTCAGGCTTAGTCTAAGTTAAGTGGGCTTCACCCCCATTTAAAAGGAAGGATTTTACCCAGGCGTAATGGCAGGGAGGGTATTTGGCTGTCCACAAGTCTGACTGCCTCATCTTTTAAAGCCTCAGTGCAGGCCATAGATGGTACCAAGTACATTGCTTACACTGACTCGCTTTGGCCCTCAGCAATGCTTTTTATAGGCATGTATACTAATTAGTTAGTTAATTGGGACACAGTGCTCATCAGGGTTTTATGATTTGACATATAATTTTTATTGTGGTTTTCTGTAAAGTGTCCCAAGATCTCTAATAATTCCTCATGTCAGCTCCTCTCCCCACTACTTTAAAGGTCAGCAAACATAGTTGATTAGAAATATACATATATATATATATATATATATATGAAATAATAGTTTACAAGGCTTAAGTTCTGCTAAAACCGTTAGGTAGCTTTCTTTCTTTGTTTTTTGTTTGTTTCATTGTCCTTTTCTTTCCTTCTAGCCGAGTGTTTTTATTTTTAGTGGGAAAGAATATTACCGTATTACTAGCATGATTCTAGACAAGTAAAAGCATATCTCGGCATGAATGTTTCCTTTTTGTGGTATTCAGATATTTAATCACACTGTGATATTTCAAGCATTACTTCAGGAGGTTATCTTTCAGTAGTTGAGGACTCTTTCAAGACCCTTGTCTTGGTTAACTTTCTGTCAGTGTGATAAAAACTCCATGACCCAAGAAACTTAGAGAAGAAAAGGGTTTGGGCGTGCACGAGGTTCCAGAAGGAGGAGGCACACAGTAGGCGTGGTGGCTGGGGCAGTGAGTGAGTGGCAGCTGAGGCTCACACCTCCACACACAGGAAGGGAGGGGTGAGCAGAAGCACCGCTCAGCAGCATACTTCTTCACCCCTAAACCTACCCAGATAATGGCGCACAGCCACATCCGAGCCTATGGAGACATTCCCGCTGAAGTCACGGCCCTGTGATTATGCCTGAGATTATCAATGGAGCACATGCAGGAATGGCTTCTCAGTGTTTTAGAGTCTTGTGTCTTCATCCAGTGACCTACTTTATTAAAACTGCAGTTCAGTGTCTTGCGTCCATTTAGCGCTCCCAGAAAATAACTTGATGGTCCCAGAGATCTAAGCACATTTACTGAATAAATATTGAACTTTAGCTAGCTCACAATACAATGAATTTAAAAGATAAACTTGAGAAAAGATCTATGGGGGAATTGATTGATCTCTATACGTAAACCTAAAACCTCCGATGCCTGAGTCATCTAACTGGAAAAGTCCCTTGCCTACCAGTTATGTCCAAGTAAGGATACGGTTCTTTTTCTAAAGGGGAAGAAAAATAAAATATCAGAGTGGAACAGAGAGGGAGGCTAACCGAACCACATCTTCTTGCATGGGATTTGACGTCGGAAGTGTTTGGCTTTGCTTTTGTTTTGTTTTTTGTTTTGTTTTGTTTTTTGTTGTTGTTTTAAGAAATGCTGGTTTTTTGCTTTGTTTTGTTTTTTTATGAGGATGTAATGATTAGCTAAGGTCGCTTTGGCTATCTTCCAGCTTGTGGAGAGACTCCAGAACAAATCCGAGCGCCCAGTGGAATAATCACGAGTCCAGGCTGGCCTTCTGAGTACCCAGCCAAAATCAACTGTAGCTGGCTCATACGGGCAAACCCAGGGGAGATCATCACTATAAGGTAATTCCAATACCTTCCGTTTTGTTGATTTATAGAAATATAAATACAATCTGTAAATAGCATTGCCATAGATACAGCAGTATAAAAATAATCTCGCAGAACAGAAAATAAATGATAGTTACCAGTGTCATTTAAAAAGTAGGCAGTGACTGAACAACAGGTGTCTTTAGTATTCTCTGCTGCCGACAGTGTGCCGGGCTGAGCTAGGAGTCCTCAGCCTCCAGAGGGATGGGTGTCCGCCTCCTGAATCCAGGATAAACACATCACATAAAACACATCCACTACACCCAGCTCTCCTAACTACTTCTTAACACAGGTGCAATTTGCTGAAAAGCTTATTGGGATCAAGGGTGATCTTTAGCATCGAGTAGTCAGACAAAACCCACCAATCAGCTCAAAGATCCATGCCACCCCCTTAGCCTCGTTCATTCCGCCGCCTCTACTTTAAAGAAGCTAAAATACGATTCCAGGTGGGCATGGCGTGCTCACAAAACTGTAAACATGCCGTTAAGCACATCTTGAGTTTTATTCTTTGCTTCTTTGATGTATGATTGCATGTGTCACAGGTAATGCTCGCCCACGGCTACACGCGTGTGATTGCATGTGTCGTAGGTATGCTCGGCCACAGCTGCACGCGTGTGATTGCATGTGTTGTAGGTATGCTCGCCCACAGCTGCACGCGTGTGATTGCATGTGTCACAGGTAATGCTCGCCCACGGCTGCACGCGTGTGATTGAGTGTGTTGTAGGTGTGCTCGCCCACGGCTGCACGCGTGTGATTGCATGTGTCACAGGTATGCTTGCCCACGGCTGCACACGTGTGATTTGCGTGTGTTGTAGGTATGCTCGCCCACGGCTGCACGTGTGTGATTGCGTGTGTCGTAGGTGTGCTCGCCCACGGCTGCACGCGTGTGATTGCATGTGTCACAGGTGTGCTTGCCCACGGCTGCACGCGTGTGATTGCATGTGTCGTAGGTGTGCTCGCCCACAGCTGCACGCGTGTGATTGCATGTGTCACAGGTGTGCTTGCCCACAGCTGCACGCGTGTGATTGAGTGTGTCGTAGGTGTGCTCGCCCACAGCTGCACGCGTGTGATTGCATGTGTCACAGGTATGCTTGCCCACGGCTGCACACGTGTGATTTGCGTGTGTTGTAGGTATGCTCGCCCACGGCTGCACGTGTGTGATTGCGTGTGTCGTAGGTGTGCTCGCCCACGGCTGCACGCGTGTGATTGCATGTGTCACAGGTGTGCTTGCCCACGGCTGCACGCGTGTGATTGCATGTGTCGTAGGTGTGCTCGCCCACAGCTGCACGCGTGTGATTGCATGTGTCACAGGTGTGCTTGCCCACAGCTGCACGCGTGTGATTGAGTGTGTTGTAGGTGTGCTCGCCCACAGCTGCACGCGTGTGATTGCGTGTGTCACAAGTGTGCTCACCCACGGTTGCACGCGTGTGATTGCGTGTGTCACAGGTATGCTTGCCCACGGCTGCACGCGTGTGATTGCGTGTGTCATAGGTGTGCTCGCCCACGGCTGCATGCGTGTGACTGCATGTGTCACAAGTGTGCTCGCCCACGGCTGCACTCGTGGGAGCCCGAGGCTAAGGTTGGGTGCATTCCTCCATTGCTTTGCGCCCCTTTCTTCTGAGAGGGGTCTCTCACCGAGCTTGGAGCTATCTTAGCCAGGGAGCTGTGGGCATGAGCCCGCACCCCCTGAACCCTCTAAGCACCAGAGTCACAGACATGGGCCACCATGCCACATGGGTTCTGGGCGCCCAGCCCAGGCCCTCATGTTTGCACAGGAGGCACTTTGCTCACGGAGCCAAATCCTCGACCCCCCTCTCAGAGTTGAGAAGCGGAGTGTCCCGTGCTGTGATCATATACAACCCATTCAGATGTACAGATGAGCCCATGATAGGGAAGTTTAAGTTGATTTACTTTATTAATAAGCAAAATAGAAAGTGTATCGTTGTCCAGGGAGATGCTTTAAAATAGCTGTTCGATTAAGGATAAGATACACGTTCAACTTTAAGATGAGGTTAAAATCCTGACTAACATGAACCGTATAGGAACATGGAAATGTGCTGGTGTGTGTTTGTTTGTTTAATATTCTAAGGAACCAAGGGTGCCCTGAATTCATGACCTTCCCCCCTCAGCCTCCCTAAGAGTCACGGTTGTAAACAGTCTGAATTAAAGTGGGGAAGAAGAATCTGGAATACACGAGTGAGGGCTCCCTACGTAGACTTCATTCTTCTCCCTCAGCCCACAGACAGAGAGTACTGAGTCACAGCCAAGGTCTGGCTGTTTTGCTCAAGAAAACATGTGGGGAAAAAGAAATTCTCGTAGCCATCAGTTGCCTCCCAGCGAATGTGAACGACTTTCCGTGGTGGAATCTGCAGCGGTGCGAACCACCGTTTAAGACTAGTTGTAAAATAGAAGCCTGGAGAGGGAACACAGGAGAGAAGGAGGAAGGCAGGGAGGTCCATCCAAAGTAAGCCACACCCCCAAACTCCAGACGGTGTGGGAAAAGTGCTAAGTGGTCACGTAATCCACCTGTAATACAGCGTACTCGGACATTTCAGTACTCGTGATGTCAGGAGCTTCTTTACCTTCCCTCAATACTTGGTAGTCTGCTCAAACCTATGAACTAATTCCCAGAATGTTTCCTGATTTATAAAACACATCGCATTACAAAATATAATTGCATTAAACTATAGCTAACTACTGGGTATATTTGAATCGTTAGAATATGGTAATAGATGTTTATTGACATGTTGACTAAAACAAATCACAGTTCTGATGACTTTCAGGGTAGATAGCATTTTCAGGCTTCTGACTTCTTGTAAGAGAGAGAGGCATGCACATAGAGATCTCTGAAAGTGCTGTGCATGGTAACGAGACAAGTACCAGCCTGAGCAGAAGTTATTGAGAGTGCTTAAAGAAAAAATAGCGCGACATAATCCTTGCCGTTAACTTCCTTATCGCTTAAAGCGGAGGCAGGGAGAGAAAGTCAAATTTTCATTCATTTGCGAGCCGTGTTCAGATTTGGAAGCAAAATTGGATTTCTCATTTCTGCTAAGCAGTGGCTGCTTCCCCGTTCTTGTTTGACTTTTTGTCATTTACTTGTGCCCATATTTTAGGAACCACGTGGTAATGTTTAACTATCAAGTGATTTATATGAGTTTCCCAAACTCAAGAACTTTTCACAGCAAATGTTAACTTTTGTTTGCCCCTGCTCCTCCCTCTCCCTCTCCATCTCCCCCTTTCTTCCCCTCCTGTCTCTGTCTCTTCCCCTCCCCTTTTCTCTCTTTGTTGCTGGGATTTGCGGTCCTGGGAATGTTAGCTAGAGTTGCTTTAAGGAAGTGGGTGGCCCAGTCTAACTGAAGAGAAAGAGTTTTTTCTAGCCTACCTCCTCGGAGCTTGAACTTCTGGCTCAAGCACGAAGAACTGTGGGATGATGGGGATTGGGAAGGGTTTTCCTAAAGATATTAGCACAGGGGCCTGTGCTGTCACCTGGTTCGGCACAGTTCTGAACCTTCGGGAACGATGCAGGCATAGGGGCTGCAGAGGCTGCTGTGGCTGCTGGCGTTGCGGCCGCCGGCTGGGGCGTAAGAAGCCGGGACTTGGGGTCCTGACTTCCGCTGCATCTCATGTCTATGAATGCTCTTGTTTTGAAAGCTTCTTCTGACGTTCTCTTGTTTTAGTTTTCAGGACTTCGATATCCAGGGGTCCAGGAGGTGCACTTTGGACTGGCTGACGATAGAAACATACAAGAATATCGAGAGCTACAGAGCTTGCGGGTCCACGGTGCCGCCCCCTTACATCTCCTCACAGGACCATGTGTGGGTCAGGTTCCATTCGGATGACAGCGTGTCCAGGAAAGGCTTCAGACTGGCGTATTTTTCAGGTGTGTTTTTAGAAGGAAAAACACCGGACCACGTTCTGTGGTAGTAACCGCCCGATCACTGGTAGTCGGTTTTCTGAACAGTGGCCTGTCCCTTGTGCGTCAGCCCTCAAGGTGGCTGAGGTTATAGCCATCTGCCCTCGAATTGAGTATCCAGTTTGGTGTTTATATCACCATAAGGAAATGATTAATTGTATCAACTGAGGTCTGCCTTTTAAAACATCTGTTTCGAAAGAAGGCTCTTCTCAGCCCATATCTCGAAGACTACATCGGAGGGTAACTTTTAGTGTGGGAATGACTGTTCTCATTGCATCTTAAGCAGAAGACAGAACCTATCCCACGGTTTACAGCCTCAGACTTTGTAATTTTTCTTTTCCTAGACCATTTCCAAGCATGACAAGTCACACACATGTGGAAAACTTAGAGGGGGGTGCCTGGGGGGTGACTTTTTCTTATAGCCACCTCCTTAGCCACAAGTAAGCTGTTAGTGGACAGGCGGCAGCAGCGGGCCAACTTGTTGTCTCTTCGGGGGCTATGGGAATCTGCTAGGGTCTGGTTCGCCTCTGTTGTTCTTGAGGAATATTTAACATGGTAGACTGAAATACGTAGAATTCCCTAAACACCCCCCCCCTTACCAACAATTCTACCCAGACTTTTGTCTCCCTTGGAAGCGATTGTACCTGGAAATAGACACTGGCGATCAGTGAACTCTGCAACCGTATTAGTTCATGTGCCCTGTTTTAGTTGTGCTTATGAAATGTTGAGCTCTTAGGAGGTATATCCCTTGGCTCGTCTGCCTTCAGTCATTTCACTAGATGCTCTGCAATGAAATAGCGCCCGTCCTGTCTTATCTTTAGGCAGAAGTGCCAGGAGCCTTGCGCGGAAGGAGCTGAACATTTAATGAATATAATGCCAGTGCTAAATTCCTCACTGGAATTTAACCAGACTTTTAACAAGGTTTTTAAAAAAGCCCTACCGCGTATTAGAAAAATATGCGGGCCCCTTGTCTTTTGTGGTGTGGGTGTGTCTTATTTTTCTTCTTCCGCCTCCATCCTCCCTTCCCCGCACTCTCCCAGGGAAATCTGAGGAGCCGAGCTGCGCCTGCGGTCAGTTCCGTTGTGGGAACGGCAAATGCATCCCCGAAGCCTGGAAGTGCAACCGCATGGACGAGTGCGGGGACAGCTCGGACGAGCAGGTCTGCGTGGAGGACGCCTCCGAGGGCGCCGGCCCCCCGACGGCCGCGGCCTTCCAGCCGTGCGCCTACAACCAGTTCCAGTGCCTGTCCCGCTTCACCAAGGTGTACACCTGCCTCCCCGAGTCCCTGAAATGCGACGGCAACATCGACTGCCTGGACCTGGGGGACGAGATCGACTGCGAGGTGCCGACGTGCGGGCAGTCGCTCAGGTACTTCTACGGCTCCTTCAGCTCCCCCAACTACCCGGACTTCTACCCTCCGGGCAGTAACTGCACCTGGCTGATAGACACGGGCGACCACCGGAAGGTCATCCTGCGCTTTACCGACTTCAAGCTGGACGGCACGGGCTACGGCGACTACGTGAAGATCTACGACGGGCTGGAGGAGAGTCCGCGCCGGCTGCTGCGCGTGCTGACGGCGCTCGACTCGCACGCGCCGCTCACCGTGGTCTCCTCCTCCGGGCAGATCCGCGTGCACTTCTGCGCCGACAAAGTGAACGCCGCCCGGGGCTTCAACGCCACCTACCAGGTGGACGGCTTCTGCCTGCCGTGGGAGGTGCCCTGCGGGGGCAACTGGGGCTGCTACACGGAGCAGCAGCGCTGCGACGGCTACTGGCACTGCCCGAACGGGAGGGACGAGGTCAACTGCACCGCGTGCCAAAGGGAAGAGTTTCCCTGCTCCCGGAACGGCGTCTGCTACCCGCGCTCCGACCGCTGCAACTACCAAAACCACTGCCCGAACGGGTCGGACGAAAAGAACTGCTTCTTCTGCCAGCCGGGCAACTTCCACTGCAAGAACAACCGCTGCGTGTTCGAGAGCTGGGTGTGCGACTCGCAGGACGACTGCGGGGACGGCAGCGACGAGGAGAACTGCCCGGTCATCGTGCCCACCAGAGTCATCACCGCCGCCGTCATCGGCAGCCTCATCTGCGGCCTGCTGCTCGTCATCGCCCTGGGCTGCACCTGTAAGCTCTACTCTCTGAGGATGTTTGAACGGAGGTCAGTGCCAAGACAAAGTCAGCCCACCGTGCGCGCAGGAAACGCACGCACGGTCCCCCGGGGGGGGGGGGGAGTCAGGGGTGGCTGGGCCGGTAAAGCCCCTGCCACGCAAGCAGGAGCTTAACGTGATGGCCAGTGCTCACACATAGAACTAAACACGGTGGGAGAGGCGTGGGGACCCCTGGGGTTCACCACCACCCAGCCTCTAGCGTAATTGGCAGACTCCAGGTTTCCTTCAGTGAGAGACCTTGTCTCTGTAAACACCGTGCCAGAGGACACTCCACGCACACACACACACACACACACACACAGGAGCATACTAAAAAAGGAGAAAAGTTTTAAAAGCGCTACCCAGGTGTTCACCATAAGCCCTTTTAATGTGGTTTGGAGATGTATAGATGTTTAGGATATACAGAATTAGGATGAAAAGCCACCAGTCAAAGATAAACACAGTGCAAAATATTATTTAGCTTTATGAGATAAGAAATATAGTTACTAGGTCACTGTCTTGAGGGGTTTTTGCAAACTGTTAGTCTCAGTTACAGCTTTATCTTGTTTTATAAATATTCAATAATCCCGCGTATCGGAGAGCCTCCGGTGTTTATAGCATCCTACAAGTGAGAAGAAAATAAATGAACCACAGTTTCCCAAGCAGGCTCACGCTAAGGAGGGAATTGGTGGGCGGGGTAAATGCCAGCAGCAAGCGATGGAAAGTCTGTGAAACAGTGGTGTCAACGCCCTCGTGGTGGCGCATGCGGAAGTCCTTAAGGCAAGGGAGCCTTTTGAAATACGTGAGCATAGAGAAGAGAGAGACACTGGCGGGGTTTTCTCTGGGGAAGTGTGTAGGATGCCCAGCCTGGCTCCAAGAATAAGTACAGAATCCATTTGGTCTGGGGCCTTGGAAACCCACGAGGGACCGTGAGACTCAAGGCCTGGCCATGCGCAGCTCAGTGAGAGACAGGGTCTCGGTTTAGCCAGGGGGAGGATGGACCACAGGGAGAGCAGCCTCCAGGGTGGCAAAAGATAAAGCGGAAGAAGCTGATGGCAGAGGCGTCTCCCAAGGGGCCGTTGTGGGGACAGCTGCCTGCAGTCCCAACAGTTACAAATGACCAATTAACGAAGAACATGCCAAACAGCGAAAGGTCGCAGATGGCGCGCAGATGCCCAGGCGGCGAGAGCCGCTGCTGCACCCCTCCCCTGAGCGGCTTGACCATGCTACAACAAAAGAACAGTCGGGCCTCCAGTGCCATCCCGCTGCCGCAGGCACTGTGCTGGGGGCTCATTTCACTCCGACCTGAGACGACGTGTATAGGACGTGTGGGCCGAGTGTCTCCCGGGGCCTTTCGACAATCGTCTCCCAAAGTCTAGGGCTTTGGGTTTTAGAACCCGTTCCCCTATGGTGTGCCCTTTAGAGAGATGCAGGGATCTAGGTTCTTGAATAGAGCGCCTCTGGACGCGCCGTTCACGGCAGGCTGGCCCAGACTGGAGCAGCCCCAGAGTAGGATGGTGCCTTGACTCAGCTGGTTGGCCTTCGGTGCTGATGGTGGAACGCAGCCCTCGCCGCCGTCTGACCCTTTCATTCCCGTTTACAAAGGTCGTTCGAGACCCAGCTGTCTCGAGTGGAAGCCGAACTGCTCAGACGAGAAGCCCCTCCCTCGTATGGACAGCTGATCGCTCAGGGCTTAATCCCACCCGTGGAAGACTTTCCAGTTTGTTCACCGAATCAGGTATAATGCAGATTTTAACCCGTTTTGTCTGTCATCTTTTAAAGTGTGTGTGTAGTCAAGCAGATATTAATTATCTAGAGAATTGAAAATATGCATTTTATGATATTGTAAACAGAATCTATAAAATGCTAATTGTTATGATTATAATATGATTGCCATTGGACATTTTGCTTTTCATGATAAGTGAGTGCACTGGAATTTAAAAACTTGGACCAATTTTCTGAATGAACAGAACACTTAGAGACTTAAGGATGAATACTAAAATTCATATACTCACAATGTTACTTAGCCAGTTTTAAGCAATTGAAGAGAAATTATTTGCCCCTCATTTGAGAGAGAACTTCAAGCTGGATTTTACGGTGTCTGAGAATTTGGTCCACTTTATTTCTTTGGGTTGTAACTCATGTTTCTTAAATCTTCAAATTTCTCTCTAAGTTTTTTAAAACTTTTCACAATATAAAAATATACCAAGATTCATTTTAGTTAGAAGGATTTATATGCATGTAGATTTTAAATTGCATTCGCAAATGTTTATAGAAATGATTCTCAGAGTTAGAACTGAAAAAAATGGATATTTCCTCAGTGACTTAACTCTTTAAAAATAGAACACCATTTCATTTGAGTGTTTAGCAAATCCTTGCTAAGTATTTGTAGGTTTTGAACGTTTTTCCAACTGTAATTTATATTCAGAATTTATAGTGGTCAAATTTTGGGTGTGAGACAGAAAAAAACTAAATTAGAGTTTTTTTATATTGTTTGCTCTGCCAAAGTCAGAGTGTCTTTGAAGGTAGGTGACAAACCATGGCTGACTGAGTCCCCAGCTCCCATAACCCTCCCCCTCTATGCTCTGTGAAGCTAGTAGAGCACAGACCCAGCCCAGTGACTGCTCACTGGGACCATTTGCAAGTTCAGGGGCCTCCCCAGCGGCTCCCTCTGGTTTCCTAGCTCACTAGAAGACTTCGAAGGGCTCACTGGAGCTGTTTGCCCATGCTGCATTCTATTGCTGTGAGAGGACTGAGGGACAGGGCAGAGTCCAGGCAGCCCAGGGGACCCAGCGTTGCTCTGTTTACTCCTGCATGGAGACCATATTCCCGAGCTGTTAGCAGCCAAGGACACCCACCAAGCCCCCATGCAGACTCACATGGTCTCAATTAATTGTGTGGGTGATGGAAGTCTGTACCCTCCTGAAACCGTCACCCCACCCGAACTCACCCAGAGCCCCACCCTAACTCACAGCATTGTAACTGCCTGCCAGTCCCCAGGGAGATGGCCTTTTCCTGTCAGCCGTGACGCTTGAGAAGCCAAGACCAGACAGAGGAAGATCAGACAGAGGCTTCGGGGAAGGCTGAGTTCTTTGTTCCACGTTGCTCCTTTCTACAGAGCTATAAATTATCCCCCTGAGAGAGTTCTCTTTAAACAACATTGAACAGTAAACTAGACTTTGTGTTAATGAGACCAAACACTCAAGTTTGAAATTTATGACAACAAATGATCATCTTTGCCCCAGTTTTTCAAAGAAAATGATTGTGTAATCTGCCATCTAGTATAAAATAAGAAATGTTTCCGGGAAGGATTTGCTGCGTCACAAGTTAAACTATAAACAGTCACCAACCAAACATCCATGACAGTCCCCTTGTAGAATCTGATGTTAAAGTGGCCACCTTTATGAACAGGCTTTTAACTAGGCAGAGAATGCCTCCTGGTTGTGGCCGACCGTAATGAGGAAGTTTGTATAAAGTGTGCAGAGGGCCTCCCGGCCTCAGCTAAGCGCTGAGTGGCATAACCTGTGCCCACTTGACTGGGACTTGAATACTAAGTGCTCAGGACCAGATCTGTGGAGAAGTTCTTTCTAAACTTGAGCTGCTGTTTATTTTTAATTTTGTAGTTAGGTACTTCTTAATTGTTGAAGAAAAATAACTTCACAATTTTGTACTGCAAGTCCATGTGTGCTGAAAGCCAGATTTCTTAGTGGTGGCGTGTGTTTTCCTAAAGCCGGACTAGGAAATGTTCCTGCAATTGTGACCGCTTAGCATTTGCTGAATTGTTTTCAGACTGTTCAGGTGTAACTCTAGGGCTGTGACAAACAGGTGGGGAGCATAAGCTCATGTGTCTTCCCTGTTGGCTTTCCTTTTGTTTCTGTGAGAGGAGAGCCAGAAGCTGGGCTTGACAGAGGAGCGGTCAGCCAGCCGTCACTGAGACAACATAGGATTTCAAATGCTCAATCCAGGTTCATGAAAGCTGTGTCTGTTCCAGCTCCATAACCACTAGGTGGAGCTTAAAGACTATTTAAATGCTGCCCGTTTACTTTCATCTAGCACTTTCATCTAGAACAGAATTTTTCTTTTAATTACATTTATTCACTATTGCATGACAGAGGGGCATGCCTGCTGTGGTCCCTCCTGTGGCGGTCAGAGGACAACTTTGATGAGTCCGGTCGGCTCTAGGCATCCAACTCGGGCGGCCAGGCTGGAGGCTCCTGCCTTCACCTGCTGAGCATGTCACTGGCCCCTAGACTTTCTTTTAGTTGAGCAAGATACTTTTGTTATGTGCTAATTAATCTATGAAGCATTCCACATTTTAAAGTCTGTAACTTTTTTTAATCAGTTTTTCAAGACTAATTTGGTTCATGTTTAATTCTAAATTGAAGTGAAAAGCTAAATTCTTAAAATTGACGAGGAACCCCAATGTATACTTTTGATTTCTATTGGGTATACAAGTGTGTTCTGCCTTTGTTTACAACAGTAGAGCCGAATTCTCAGTACTCATTCACTCCACCCTGGAAGACCAGCTCGGAAATGCAATTCCCACACTCACAGGACAGTCCAGCCTTGTAAATCAAGGCGGTTTTGGCTTTTGTTTTTTTGAGAGGATAAAGGATCAAAAACATAAACAATACCAGGTGACTTAGTGAAGTATGGTGAGATTTGTTTATCTTCCTGGCTGTAAATGTATCTGTTTTCTACAGTTTTAGGATTGGATTATTAGTGAGGTTTGAAATAAAATAACTGTTGTGATTGATGTAACTATCTGTCGGTCCTGCCGACTTGTCCGGTCCATACTGAGGAGGAGGGGTGTGGATGAGGAAAGAAACAGGCTAGAGGCAGAAGATGGAGTCAGGAGGGCGTCGCTGTGAACACTGGGATCCACCTTAAGTTAATTGCTCAAAATTCTTATATACCCCCACCCAAAGTGGGGAGGGGGGCAAAAGACTTTACCCATGATCCAAGGAACAAACAGACTTAACTACTTCCTTAATTCCCCAAACATTTAGTAACCACACCTTAGATCAAACCTCTTGTTATCTGGCCTTGAGGATGAAGACATCTAGTAAAGGTAGACGAGTATTCTGTCATCTGGGTAAGACACCCACACCCTAGACCAGACGCCTTCCAGTTGTCACGGCTTAGACCCTTACTCCTAGCCCTTTAACCTTGAGAGAACAAGGATAGTTTCGAACTCTCTGACCTTCGACTTCTATGGACCCCAGCAACTCTCACTGGAAAGTCGAGGTTTAAGTTAGATTAGATTCTCTGGGGTGGACCCGAGGAGCCTGGGGAATTTACCCCATCCCGCCCTAGAAGCAGTGAGCCAGAGAACGTTCTTCATGGTGACCCTTGGTGACTAATGGTCTTCCTTTCCGCCCCGTAACCTTTGCAGGCGTCGGTTTTAGAGAACCTGAGGCTCGCCGTGCGCTCGCAGCTGGGCTTTACTTCCATCAGGCTCCCTATGACGGGCAGGTCCAGCAGCATTTGGAACCGGATTTTTAATTTTGCAAGGTCACGGCACTCGGGGTCGTTGGCTCTGGTCTCAGCAGATGGAGACGAGGTCGTCCCGAGTCAGAGCGGCAGCAGGGAGACGGAAAGGAGTCACCTTCACCGAGGCTTGTTCTCCGTGGAGTCGGACGACACCGACACCGAAAACGAGAGAAGGGATCCGGCAGGAGCGGCCGGTGGGGTGGCAGCGCCCCTGCCCCAGAAGGTGCCCCCCACCGCGGCCGTGGAAGCCCCGGTGGGAACGGGCGGGGCCCCCTCGGTGGCGGCGCAGAGCAGCCGGGGTGGTGGCCGCGCGGATGCCAGGGACGCGCCCGGCGCGGAGGCCCCGAGTGCGAGCCCCGCGCGCCACCAGCTCACCAGCGCCCTGAGCCGCGTGAGCCAGGGCCTGCGCTGGGTGCGGCTCACACTGGGTCGGGCGAGCGCCCCGCATCAGAACCACAGCCCCCTGAGACAGCTGGATAACGGGGTGAGCGGCGGGAGAGAGGACGACGATGACGTGGAGATGCTCATCCCAGTTTCCGACGGGGCTTTGGACGTTGATGCCAGCGACTGCTCCCGGCCCCTTCTGGACCTGGCCTCGGACCCAGGACAAGGGTTCAGACAGCCCTACAGCGCCGCCAACCCCGCGGCCAGAGCCGGCAGCCGCGACGGCCCCTGCCTGCGCTGCGGCATCGTGCACACCGCCCAGGTACCCGACACCTGCTTGGAAGCCACGGTGAAAAACGAAACAAGTGACGACGAGGCTTTGCTAGTGTGTTAGGACGGCGTCCCCAGAGAGACTGCAAGCTGGAGCAATATCCATTCATTGTTTTGTAACTTCACAATTAAACTAGTTTTGGTTTAAAACAAAGAGATGCAGGGTGATTTTTATTACTATTATTGTCATTATTATTATCATCATTATTATTATTATATGTTAGCCTGCATGGTTAAATTAAACAATAATGCGTGACTCTATGAGCTAGAGTTTACTGGTTTAGCAGTTGAAAATGCATTATGTGTTTGGTTTCAAGAGTCGTGTTCTTCCATTTGTTTTTACTTATTTTGTTTTAACTTCTGGTACTTTAGTTTAATAATGAAACATGGCTGCTTTAACTCACTGTCATTGTATGTATCTTATGTTAAAAGGTTTGTTTGTGTAATTGAGTCTTTCATGCTCTTTGACACCATGTAATTTATTATTCTAGATGCTAAGGTTGTTAATGTACAAAAACAAAAAAGAAAACAAACCCACGTAATCACCTCTTTATTTACATAACATTGTCTGCTGCTGGATGGGCCTGTCAAAGGGAAAGGAATTCCCTCTCACGTTTAACACACATTGACGTAGAGTTAGACACATTGCTGTCAGAAAACAAACTTTTCTAGATTTTCTAACGCTGACTTTAATACTCTAATATGGTACAGACCAAATGGTAAAATCCCAAGACATTTCTGTTTTCATCTCCATTTAGGGGCAGAATTAAGCGGATGAAGATACTCTACTATGCATTAAACTTTGAACTTTATAAACTATGTACAGAAATTGTACATGCTAAGTTCCACCTGGCAATGTCTTTCTCCAGTACAGGGGTTTGCTTGAGTTGGATCCTAAGGGGTTTGCACTAAAGTCCTACCAAGGTCTCCCGAGAGTCCGGTGCGCTGGCACCATCCTGTTAGATGCTATCATTTGCTACCACAGTGACTATATATTTCCATAGCTTTGGGGGAGGGGGACCATTTTTACTACAACTTGAACTTGCTTTTCCGGTTTCATATTTATTATTTGTTGTATTTAAAAACTGCATTATTGTAAGAGTGATTTTTTTCACAGTATATTTTATTCTTGGGGTACAGAGAGGGGGAGAGTCACTGCTACAATCTTGAAAAGCAAATTAAGAATTTGTTCCAATTGCCCCCCTCTTTAAGTAGAGTGAATTACAAGACCCCATTTTTTTTTTAGTGTCAATTCTTGTTTATTTATTCCTTAGCTGTCTGTTTCAGTAGCTTAATGATTGGGTATGAAGACGTGTTTGTATGTGGTTCTTGCTATTTATTACGTTTGGAATACTTTGCTGAATGTCATTTTAAAGCATGTTTGAGGTCTTGTGTATCTGTCCTGTATGCCGTCAGGGAGACCTGACTTAAAATGTTTTAATATGTATCAAAAAATTAAAATAATTTTTTTTATTGCCTTGAGGTACTTTTTAAACCGACGTTGCCCTTTCCTTTTGTTAACCTTCGTTCGTACGCCGATCCAGGCCGTATGTGATACAGCTGAAGGCATGGAGCTTTGGTATTGAGTTTCATGCTAGTAGAAGTCCCCTCGGCTAGGGGCATCTCCCTTTAAGAAGGCTGCCTTTTGCTTGATAAATCTCATCCAGTCTACTGATGCAAAAAATGCAACATAGCAAGTGAACCTTCTTTAGGTCCTAAGGAGTCTACTAGCAGCTGGAACCTTGAGTTGGTTTCCTGGTTTACTTTTTGTTTTGTTTTGTGCTTCTGGGGATCACGCCTTTTCCACCATGCTGACCTGCGCTTTAATTCATTTTTTTTAAATTGACTTGCATAACTCCTTGGTTCAAGCAGCAAAAATTGAATCTCTCCTACCCCAACACACTCACCCATCATTTAGTTCTATTCAAAAAGACACACCAGTACCAGTACCAGTTTCTTGTATATCTCTCCAAAAATATCACACACTATACATACAGTGCCCATCTGTGTATTCCTCACAACGGTCATAATGCAGACTGCCGTGTGGACATTCTGCGTCCTGCCCCAAGAACAAATACTTCATTAGGGTTGGAGTACACAAAGCTGCATGATTTTGTTTAAACCTTTAAGTCGGTGTCCATGCTAAATTCAGGGCTTCAAAACTGACAACCACCCCCCCACAAGGCAACTGCCACAGGGGCTGACCATCGTCCCTCAGCTAATTTGTAATAGAACTTTTACAAAGAGCAGCTCCACACTGTCCATTTCTAGAGTGTTCTCCCAGTTGGTCTGCCTGCCCTTCTGTACCAGTACTAACTGCACTAATTCTGACAACCGCCGTTTTCAAACGCAGTTAGTACTCCTCCCCCCTCCCCTCCCCACCTCCTCCTAGGACCACCTTTAGAAGCAGAAGTGTCAGAAAGGACAGTGGTTGACCCTAGTTGTTTCTGCAGTGGCAGTCACTGTCGTTTTTTCTCTTTATTTTGCGCCAGCTCATGGGCCAGCAGCACAGCGCACCGTTCTTGTTTCTTTAAAAAGAGTAAAAATAAAAAACTTAAAAGTTTGGAAATTTCCCATGTACAGCTCAGCTGTCTTTGCTTGCTTAATTCCACCTGTCTCTGTTTACTTTTTTTCCTAGACATTTTTAATTTTGTAACCTAAATTTAGCATCATCATGCTAAGCTATTTACATTAGTGCCTTCTCAAAAAAAAAAAAAAGGCAGCCACTTATTTAAGTCTTCCTGATGTATTTTGTGTTTTACTTTACAGGAACATCTTTTTAAGGATTCTTTACAAATTTTACCAGGTTCTGGTTGCCATTGGTAAATGACGTCCTCTCCATCTCCACTTTGGTGGGCCTGCTAGCTGGTGATCTGACGGGTCAGTCTCCTACCAGAAACCAGGCAGTCTTTATTCTCACAGATCATATGAGTCGTTCAGCTAAATAGTGTGTGTGTGTGTGTGTGTGTGTGTGTGTGTGTGAAGGCAAAGGATGCAATTGTTTCACTAGACCCAAGATAAATAATAAACCGGTGTTTATTGGGGAACAGTTACACAGAAGAAATACAAAGCACCCTGGGGCGTTTCTCTGCCCTTCCTACCACATGGGCTGACCCCTCTGAAAGAAAGAGCAAAGGAAAGCCTCCCCTCAAGCTTCCCTCTTTCTGCTTCCCTCTGCCTGAAGCCACGCCCAAGTGGGTGTGGCCACCGTTACATGTTGGCTGCAAGACCACTGTGTGTGTGTGTGTATGTGTACACAGCTCTGTGCTTTAACTAAATGGCCTAATTGTTGTTAAAATGTTTAGGTTTATCCAGTAAGGAGACACAAGCCATGACTCAACGATCCCACGTGGAGTTTATTGGTGGACGGGGAGGGAAAAGGGGGGTGAGAGGTAACCAACCCATGCAGAGCAGAGAGAGAGAGAGAACAAGAGAGCAAGAGAGTAAGAGAGCATAAGCGGGCAGGGGTCAGTCCTTTAAAGGGGTCCTTTGCACCTGCCTGGTTCTCACGGAACTCTGGGCTGGCCAGAGAGCTGCCTGAGCACATCCTGCCAGGTAACAGGACAGGCCAGAGTAATGCCTGAACCTTTCATTCCCACCTTTATTTATGATTAAAAAGAGATGGGGGTGTTAGACGTGGCAGGTTCGGGATCAAGGACGTTGAGTTCTTAAGACTGCTTCCTGCTGACCTTGGGGCGTCGATCATCTTTGGGGGAACCTGAGAAAGTTGGGGTGTTGCCACGCTGGTTGTTCTATTGTAGTCCAGGGCGTATGGGACTATCTGTAGTGCAGGCTGTAAGGGACTGTCTGGGGCCTCTGTAGATCTGGCAAGATGTTAGCAGAGTAGAGAACAAAGTTAGGTTTAAAATTTTCTTTCTTAGGTCCTGGTAATTGAGGGGAAGACTGTAAGAAGAGGGAGGGGGTTCCCGAGGGGTCCCAAGATGAGGGAAGGGAGTTCCAGGACCAGGGAGAGGTTGAATAATATTTGGAGTGAATCTGACCTGTTTGGATGGGTCCAATTTGGCTTTCTGGAACTGACAAGAATCCTTTGAGTTTGTGAAAACATAAGTACTAGACATATCAGCAGCATATTTGTATTAGAAAAGACTTGGCTGAAAGCATTAACATTTTAAAACTGACAGATATTTTAGCACAATGAAAAGCACCTTAATTTTGAGCTTATAGTTATGATCATATAGTGGTATAGTTGTTTAGCACTGTCAGAGTTAGATTAGTAGCTTATCAGAACTTTATTGATTAATGTTAAGACTATGAAAAGTAATATAACGAAAGAGAGAAACCTGGAACATATTTTTTTAATGTCTCAACTTAAACATCTTCTATAGATAAACCTTAGAGTACTCGTTCCTGAAATCTGTTTTATGACAGAGCTTTGTCTTGTCTGCTACTTTAAGTTGGCAAAGCTGCCAGCCATCAAAAGCATCAGAGTTCTTGAGAAGGATAAGATTTTACCTGAGATTTGAGAATGAGAGACTTAGTAGCTGACTACATGGACAGCCACCCCCAAGGGCCTCCACAGTTGTTGAAGTCAGAGGCTCCAAGAACACCTGCCTTTTGCTGACAGTGAGACCTGTGGATTGGGACGTTTTAGGAAGACTTTCCTACCGTTGACCCGAGCAACATGGAGAAAGTCGATTCCAGTGTCCTCTTGTTCATGGCCTGAAGAGTCCTTTGAAGCAGTTGAGGTAAAGAGCAGGGTTGCTCAGTGGCCAGCGTTGCCACTTTTGTGGGCAGTTTCTTCAGTGTCCACCAGTCTTCTTGGAGGAAATGGGGTGGTGCCAGCAGCTGGCCTGTCTCTGTTATAAAAAGCTTTTAAATAAAACATTTAAATGCCATGTTCTCTAGATCTCTGAGCATTTTGAGGACCATTTGTCTGTTTAGTATATGTTAGTAGACAGAATTTATCTTTAGTGACTCGCCTTAAGCGCATAGATGGCTAGAGAACAGAAGTAATAGAAGCTTTACCTTTGTAGCCAGCTTACAGGAATGACTGGGTGTTATATTTTCTTAATCTGAAATAGACCCTTATAACTTTAAATGTTTATCATCATTTAAAAGATAAAACAATTTAGAAATACTTGATATTTAGTATAGTTGAATTAAAGTTACCTTATTTTTTACACATACATATAGATACATTAAACAGGATTGGGTAAAGGTGTTTGACCCAAACTTGTAGTAAACAGATTTAAAGAGACAGTGATGTGAAGGAAGATTTATTGTAGATAGAACAGGGAATCCTGGAAAGGCACAGTATTCCATAAACAAGCCATGCACAACAGGGCCAGTGAAAAATGAAAGTAGAGACAAAAGTAAAAGCGCAAAAGAGACAAAAAGTAAATGAATTGTATCTGTCAGCAGGCTTTGCCGGCAGAGGCTGGCTGGTCTGAGTGGGCGTGTCTACAGCTAGGTCATTCGGTAAATATGGTGGACTCAGTAAACACGTTTCCAAGCTAGGCCGCATGGTAGGCCCCATGGTTTAGATCGCCAAGATGGCGGCCTCTATAGGCACATTTCCATCTGTCAGCAGAAGTGGCCTTTTTTTCTCCACAAGTGAGGCAGAAAGATGTGTGACCACCGTAGGTCTAAGAAACAAATGAACGGCCCGTGCCAGGGTATAAAACCCGAGAGACCCCTCGTGGGTCTGAGCAGTAAAAAATCCGAAAACCTCAAACCTCATTTGTGGGGAAAAAATGAAAAAGTCTCAGAATGTCCTGAGCAGATGCTAAACTGGGATCAACAGGAGAGAGGCAAAACAGAACACTCCCAGGTGGAAGGTGGTTCCCGCCCCAGGCAGGTTTAGCCACGATGGGATGTGGCGGGAAGCCTCTGTGACTGGCGGGAGTTTTTAAAGCTAGAAGAATGAGATTTACAGGAAGAAAGAATGTTGACGAGAATGTTTAGGAGAGAGGTAGAGAAAAGCTTGAACATAGGACAACTCCTTCCATCGAACAGATCGCTGGCAGTGGTTAGAAAGATCATAAAAAACATCCGGATCTAGAGAGACATTAGGTGGCCAGTGAGATTTATTATCTAAAAGGTTCCTAGGCCATTTCTTAGTACTGAGATAAGTGAGTCTGGATGCCTTAACTAGAGGCATTAAGTGAAAGGGTTTTAGGTTCTCCAAGAGGCATCCCAGAGGAGAGGATGGGTCAATTTCTTTTGTCGGTTTGTTACCCATGGGCCCGATCTAAAGGAAAATAGAACGGCCAAATTAACTCTTCAGAGCTCGTCAGCCCGAGAGTCTAGTAAGGGCAGAGAAAACCACCCGAAAAGGAACCAGCGTCCTACAGGCAAAGAGCCACCGTAGGCTCATAAAGGAGCCGAAAAATTACCAATAGGCCGTGCCCGTGGAAAACAAACCAAGAATGATTGTCAGACGATGGGGGCCAACCGTGATCTTGAAGATCATGGCTGGGTGAATTCCCCACGTTTCCAAAAACACCATAAGGGTGGCAGACGCTCAGCGGTCAG